TGATGCATTGAGTATTTCTTCTTCATTCACCTTTCTCAGTAATGATGTGTTAATAGATCTCTCTGCATTCAATCATTACTTATTATTAATCTCTGGCTCTCTTCCACAGCATGTTTTCTGTCCTCTCTTCCTCCCCTCATGGCAGATGGCCGCCCCTCCCTGAGCCTGGTTCCCACTGTCACCAAAGTACTTGCTCATAGGCGGTCATGTGATTGTTGGGTTTTTCTCTGTATTGTGTTATTGTAGGGTCTACCTTACAATATAAAGTGCCAAACTATAAAGGATATAAAGTAAAAAATAAAGTAAAAATATAAAGGAACAAAACAGTTGAGAGCATCTTGAGCACAGCAGAAAAAACGTGTGTGCTAAGGATGATTTTGAACTATTAACTTTAAGTGTTGTTATTGTTAAGGAGATGTGGACACAGGAGTGTGGACACCGATCCTTATTCACTTAGCCGCTGTTTACAGTTTAAAAAGTCTTCACCAAAACAAACACTTCTGATGGTACTTTGTTCCTCATTGTTTTTGAAAAGCAAGAGCAGGCAAAACAAATCCAGTAAATGCACTTATATCTGTAAGTTTACCAACACTTTAAATAATGTTCTGTCGAATACTGCTGATGTGTCACACATGCACAAAGTGTTCGTGGGTGTCAGAGCCTGGGTGTAACAATGTAATACTGGACATAGACATATTCTTTGAGATCAAATATTTGATTAATTTAGAAACTTAGAAACTTGTTTTTGCATTTTGACCTCCTGTGAAACACCTATGTTATAACGCTCTGTCTTAATATATTTTTATTTTAATGTTTTAATCTGTGGATTTCATTTTTTTAATGTATTACAGAAAAGTCCTGTCAGCCCCGTGCTGCGAGAGCATCCATCCATCCTGTTCTAATGACCACAAATTTCAGGAGCACCTTCCGTAGATCTGTTTAGTTTTATTCAAATAGCCCCACTTAACAGTCAACAACTTTTGTCTTAGGACATTCTACGGTAATCAAGGACAAATGTTCACTCAGATTCATTTATGAAGTGAAAGCAGTTTTGTAATCAACGCTGAGTTTTAAGCCATGACTGGCTACATATGTATACAATATCACGAGTAGACGGACATGGATGTAAACTGCAACTTAACTGTTTGGCTGACTGCAAGGCAGTTATTCTAGCTTCAAGGTAATTTGGTTTTGCCTGCCTCTAATGATGTTGATTTATTAACAGATCTTTTTAATAATTACTGTCTTTCTATTATCGATAATATTTGTCCTATTAAAACTAGACTTGCCCCTGTTACAAAACCCTCGCCCTGGATAAACGACAGCATTCGCTGTTTAAAGCGTGTCTGTCGTAAAGCTGAGCGTTTGTGGAGAAAGACTCGTTTACAGGTTCATCTCTTTCATTTAAAAGACCTTTTAGTTTCTTTTAATGCTTCAATTCGTGATGCAAGGGCTGCTTATTTTTCAAACCTAGTCTCTAGGAGCAGAGGTAACCCTAAGGTTTTATTTGACACTATTAGGGATATTGTTGCTCCGGCTTCTGCTGCTGTCCCAATTTCTTCGAATGAAGACTGTGAAAATTTTCTTTCCTTCTTTGTTGAAAAGGTTAGCAATGTAAGGAGCAACATCTCTCCCTCCATGTACCATTTGCCTGTTCCGATTTTACTTAAGCCTGTCATATTTGAAAGATTTTCACCAGTGTCTTTACCTGAGTTGTTGAAGCTGGTCACTTCAATTAGATCATCCTCTTGCCCCCTTGATATTTTATCTGGGTCTTTGTTTAAAAATGTTTTTGAGTCTATTGGTCCTAGTGTTCTTAAAATTATTAATGCATCTCTACTCTCTGGTCAGGTCCCTGTTTACTGTAAAAGTGCTGTCATTCACCCACTTTTAAAAAAGCCTAAACTTGATCCTTCTTTGCTTTCCAGTTACAGACCCATCTCAAAATTGCCTTTTATTGCCAAGATTTTAGAAAAGGTTGTGGCCAAGCAACTCACGGATTTTCTAGATGAACACAATATTCTTGATAAATTTCAATCTGGCTTTCGTAAGGCTCACTCT